TATTGCCTGAATACCTAAAGCTACTAATTCGCAATCAATAATTGAATTTGGATCATAAATATCAGTTTCTTTGATATGCTGCACAACCTCTGCAAGCACTTTTACATCTCCGTATCCCCGAACTAATGCAACAAACTCTTTAAATTTTTGTTCCACCGAATACAGTTTATCATATAATATATTATGCATTTCAACTATACAATCATTTAAAATTACCATTTTCTCAAATGTTTTTTTCATCATGCACATACATATATCATTGCTAATCAATTTAATTACTTTTTCACCATATAGCACTCCAAATTCAACACTTATATCATTAAAATTAATATTGTCGCGTGTATCTTTTGAATCGTCAAAGAAACTGCATGCGTTGTCTGCTTCGGCTACAATCAGCGACCATGTGACTATGCTCAGCTCCAGGCGGTTATTTCGGCTGTCTGATAATACGAGTTGCGGGCAGAAATTGTCGCCAAGTATATTTATGCCGATTTCCAAATGCTTTGTACAGGAATCCGTCAATGGATATTTTCGGCCCAAAATTCTACATGATAATTGTGGTGCGATTCTAGAACAAATAAATACCGTTTAAGTATGTTATTAGAACAAATACCGACAGCGTTAAATGAAATGTGTTTCGAACACTTACTTCACGTCATTCTGATGTTTTGTCATTTTTTTGTGTGCCTCTTCTTCTTGAGTAGAACTTGCGGGGCGCTTCCTTTGGCAAAAACACTCTTTGAAACTTTGAGAGTACATATTTCACTTTTCACAATACAATCTCGCGAACGATGCACTTGCGGTGATGGTCAATTTGGTTTTGCGTATGCTTGAAACTTTAGCAAACCCCCTACCTTCTATAGTCACGAATTGCAGTGTCAGATTTGCTGCGTCAACAAAAAACTCATTTCCAAGATGTAGAAAAAAGTGGTCTTCCGATAAGAACAAACAGTTCAAGGTTATGGAGGGTGGGGGTAGGGTGTTATATTTCTGTCGACGGTGGTGTCAAATTTCAGTTCAAGGTCATTGGGTGGGGGTGTGAGGGTTGTCATGGGGTGGGGTGTCAAATTTCAGTTCAAGGTCAGGACGTATCATATTTCTGCTAACGGTGGCGTCTAATTTTAGTTCAAAGTCATGGGGTGGGGTGGAGGGGTGGGTCTGAGGGGGCGGTTATGGGGTGGGTGCGGGTGGGGGGTGGGGTGGTTATGGGGTGGGGGTTGTCGAGGACGTATCATATTTCTGCTGACGGTGGTGTCAAATTTCAGTTCAAGGTCATGGTGGTGGGGAGAGGGCAGGGAGGGGTGGTTATGGGGTGGGGGTTGTCGAGGACGTATCATATTTCTGCTGACGGTGGTGTCAAATTTCAGTTCAAGGTCATGGAGTGGGGAGAGGGGGCGGGGAGGGGGGGTATCATATTTCTGCTGATGGTGTCAAATTATTGCTGAGTCAGCAAAAAAAATGCTGACGCCAGTGATTTAGAATCCGCATAGATCAACTACTGCCCGATGACGTTGAAGGCTGATCTTCGCGAGATCCTTGTGCCTCAACCGAACCTTTCTCTCTCGAATGAAACCCACTAGCCTGCACGGAATGAAGCATCGTATGGTGTTTTTCCCTACACTGCATGCAACGAAACGATGACCTGCACTCAGAAACTCTATGCCGACCCAGACAGTTAAAACAAAGCTGTAGTCGACGTACTTCTCTACGGCGTTCAAAGGGACTCTTGGCCTGAAATTTGAAACATTTGGAAAGCAAATGCATTCCATGACACATGGGACACTTCGATCTGCCACCCACCGCATGCTGGGGAGAAGCAGTATGAAGTACTCTTCGCGAGCCCGGTACCGGTCTGGGTAAAGCAGAAGGGCTTTTCTCCGTTTTACTAGCATTCGAAGCAATCATGCTAAGGGCCTGAATACGCTTTTCCAAAAACTCGGATAGATCCACGAATTTCGGAAAACGATTTAAGGGGCTTACGTTCCCTAAATCCGAGACGTTATCTAAAACCATGCGACGAGCCAACACACTCAACTCTGTCTCCCACGCCTTTTGGGAATCGGAATCCAAATGCGCCGCTAAAATATAAACAAACCACACGTCCCAATGATCTACCGGCATCTGCAAAGTCGATAAAGCGCGAACTATGTGTTCCGTTAAATTTCGCCGCGGCGTATTTTCCGCGGTTGGGAATCTGCAGGAAAATGAGCGAGGTGCCGGATCGCGTTTACCGAAGCGCAGGAGTCTTGGAAAAGCGGAAGCAATGAACTCCACAGCAACGTGTTGCGTAGTTTTAGCAAAAACTCGTTGTATTTAATAAATTAACAGGTAGTCTTAGGAATAACAAGTTTATATTTCAATCCTCTATTCACTGAATTAATCCGCGTTATTGCGGTTCGCCGAAGCACTTGGTTCGTGCGAAGCGCCAGAAAAAGAACAAAGGAGAGATTTGCGGATCTGAATTCTCCGAAAAGCGTTCGCGAGATAAGAGTGAGACAAGAGTGAGCCCCGTCGCAGAGCGACGACAGGCTCGCACCTCTCCCTCTCTCTCCCGGCGTCCTCGCCCCACACCGCTGGCCAACGGCGTGAGAGAGATGGGCGCCGATGAGAGAGGGATGGCAATACGACAGAAGTCAGTCGCGTTAGACATTGAGGAAACAGTTCGCTCGAACATACCGCCCGCCTTCTTCGGTGATACAAAGAATGGTTGACGTGAATCAAGGCAAATAACCTCTAGAGTTTTACTAGTACGAACCATGAGTGCTTACACGCTAATTACAAAGGTAAACTAATTAATAATAATTTTAATATAAAGCAATCAAGTAAAGCAAAGTGAATAAAGAGTAAATATAAAATAACAAATAGCAATTAGAATAGTAAACTAGACCAACCAAAGTAAAGCAAAAAGAATTACGCGGAAAATTTCGGTCGTAGTTTACGAAGAGAAAAAGAAAAAGGAAGTTAAAGTTAAAGTATCTTAGCTGGTATCGATGCTAAGAGGCGTCGGTTGGCGATACTGGTAAGGGGCACAGCTTGACGATTGGCCTCTTAACAGTGCCCTTTTCAGTGCGTAGAGTTACCACTCTAACGCATCCATCAGGTCCTGGGTGTAGTTCGGTGACGCGTCCCATCAACCACTTTGCTGGTGGCTGTAAGTCGTCCCGGATAAGCGCCAGGCTGCCGATTTCCAAATTCTCCCGGTAACGACGCCACTTCGGAAACTGTTGGAGATGCTGTAAGTATTCGCGTCTCCATCTTTTCCAGAATTGTGCTCGCATTTGTGAGATTAACCGCCAGCGTGTGTGAAGTGCAGTGCATGGTTCTTCTGGCTCTGGGGGGACGGTGGTTGGTTCCCCTATCAAGAAGTGACCCGGTGTCAAGGCGGCCAGCTCCGAAGGGTCCTCTGATAGTGCGTACAGTGGCCTCGAGTTTAGGCACGCCTCTATTTGACAGAGGAGAGTCGTCAGTTCCTCGAAGGTAAGTGTGGAATCACCGATCACTCTCCGTAGATGGTGCTTTACGGATTTTACCCCTGCCTCCCACAGGCCACCAAAATGCGGCGCATAAGGGGGAATGAACTGCCAGCTGGTGCCGTCTAATGCCAGGGATGCGGCTGCCTCCTGGTAGAATAAAGTAGACTGGCGGAACATAGCGCGGAGCTCTCTGTCTGCTCCCTGGAATACCGTTCCATTGTCGCTAAACAGAGTGGCGCAATGTCCTCGCCTGCCCACAAAGCGACGGAAGGCTGCAAGAAAGGAAGCTGAGGTTAGATCTGACACCGCTTCCAAATGTATTGCCCTGGTAGACAAGCACACGAAGAGGGCGATGTAGCCTTTGTAGGCTTTGTGGCCACGCCCGGGCGAGGTACGTAGCTTAATCGGGCCCGCATAATCCACGCCGGTGGTTAAAAAGGCCCTCTGTGCTGCAGTGCGCTCTTGTGGAAGTTGTCCCATCAGTTGTCCAGCTCTACGTCCGCTAAACCGGGCGCACGTGACGCAGGCGGCGATTTCGGATCGAACCAGTGAGCGGCCTCGGACGATCCAGACTCTTCTCATGAGATGGCTGCGAGTAAGCTGTGGACCTCCATGGAGCGTGCGGTAATGTGCGTCCCGTATCAGAAGCCTGGCCAACGGACATCTCTTCGCCACAAGGTAAGGATGTTTCTCATTGTACGGCAGAGCCGCGTTTTCTAAGCGCCCTCCGAGCCTTAGTAAGCCCTGGTCGTCTAAGAAAGGTCGACACGAAGAAAGGGGTGAAGCTTTGCGTAGCTCGCCGTGCCGTTGCAGTTGTTCAATCTCCTCCAGGAAACTGGTGTGTTGAGAGAATCTCAGAACTGCTAGGAAGGCGTGGGTGCGCTCCGCTGCTTTAACAAAACCCTTCTCGCAAGGCTGCCCTCGGCTTAGACTGGCAAACCTGAAACACTGGGCAATAACAGATAAAAGGTGCGAGAGGGAGGAGAAGCGGCACAGGAAGTTTTCTCCGAATTTCTCCTTGACGACGTGTACCGTGGCTCCTCTTCTCTCTGCCTCTATTCCCTCGTTGGACTCCGGAAAGATCGCCGGCCAGAATTCAGGCTGTTCCGTCAACCATTTCGGCCCGTGCCACCAGATATCGGAGTCGACGAGCTCGGCTGGGCTCATTCCTCGGGTTGCCAAGTCCGCTGGATTGTCCGGAGAGCGGATGTGCCGCCAATTGTCCGCCGGTATCTCGTGCTGGATATCGGAGACTCGATGGGCAACGAAGGGTTTCCATTGAGATGCATGGCCGCGGATCCAGTGTAAGGTTACACTTGAATCCGTCCACGCGATGGTCGGGCCAGACATATTAATACCTTCTTTGACCCGAATCAATAATTTAGATAACAAGGTGGCTCCACACAGTTCCAACTTCGGAATTGTTATAGTCTTTACCGGGGCCACCTTAGTTTTTGCGACCAAAAGCGAGGTCGTTACCGACCCATTGTTATTGACCCGCAGGTACACCGCTGCCGCATAAGCTCGCTACGAGACGTCACAAAAACCGTGAAGTTCCATCTGGGTGGACGGCTCTGATGAGGCAAATGTCCAGCGTGGGATCTTCAGGGTATCCAATTGCGGCAGGGAGCCTCTGAAGCGCTGCCACATAGTGCAGACGTTCTCTGGCAATTGCTGATCCCAGTCCGCTCCAAGGATCCAGAGGTCCTGCATTAAAATCTTGGCCACGACTAGGACCGGCGCCGCCCAGCCCAGTGGGTCGAAGAGGCCTGCGATTTCCGAAAGGATAGACCTCTTGGTGGTGCATTCTCTCACCAGCTCAGCGGCTGCGACTCGAAGGGAGAAGGCATCATCCCTAGGATTCCAGTTCACGCCTAGTGTGCTGATGCCGGACCATTCCTGAAACAGGCGCGTATTAGAAGAGTCGGCTTCTTGAATTTCCGGTATGTTAGATGCCCATTTGCTTAGTTCGAAACCGCCAGCTTTGAAAATTGCCACCACTTCTCTTTTCAAAGCCAGGGTCTCGCTGACATCATCCGCCCCGGTGAGAATATCATCGACATAAGTGTGTCGACGCACCACCGAAGCTCCTCGGGGAAATCGGCTGCTTTCGTCGTTCGCCAGCTGGGCAAGTACCCGTAAAGCTAGGAAAGGCGCACACGCCGTGCCATACGTCACCGTTGTAAGCCGAAAGTCCTGCACTCGTTCGTCGGGAGTGGCGCGCCAAAGGATGCTTTGCCACTTAGTATCCTCTGAATGGACTCGGATCTGTCTGAACATCTTGACAATGTCCGTGGTGAATACGACCCGAAAAAGTCGCCAGCGGGTCAATACCATCCACAGGTCAGCCTGGAGCTTCTGACCAGTGGCGAGGCAGTCGTTTAGCGATTGGCCCGTGGCTGTACAAAAAGAAGCATTAAAAACGACCCGTAACTTGGCAGAAGGATCGTGACGCTTGCGTACGGCGTGGTGTGGCAGGTAATACGCAGGCCCTTTATCCGCTTCTTCGGGTGCACCCTGCATGTGCTGTAAAGTCAGGTACTCCATCATAAAATTTCGATACTGCTCTTTCAGCGTAGCATCCGAGGATAGGCGTCGTTCACAATTGAAGAGGAGTTTCAACGCCGTCGTCCTGTTGGACTTCAGCGCAGTCCGCGGGTCCTTTACGAAGGGAAGGCGCACCACGTAGCGTCCCGATGGATCTCGAGCATGGGTGTCAAGGAAGTGACGCTCACACTTTTCCTCTTCTTGTGACATTGGAGCCCGTTCTCGAATCTCGTCCAGCTCCCAGAACCGCTGGAGGAGTTGGCTTGTGGAGTCCTCGCCGTGGCAGTGAAGAACCCGAGCGGCCGTCTCCGCCTTGGGTTTGTCGTCGGAGGCTGGTCCCATAAGCACCCAGCCAAAGGGGGTGAGTTTCGCTGTTGGAGTACCCTCTGGCCCTCTGCGCGAGTCGTCACCAAAGAGCGTTCCGCAAACATCCGCACCTAAAAGTAAATCTACCCGAGCCGGAACTCCGTACTCGGGGTCAGCAAGCGTGAGACCGGTAATATGCGGCCAAGACTTTGCCACGATGCGTTTGCTCGGGAGCAACGACGTTAGTTTGCGGAGTACCAACGCACGAACTGGTAATCGGAAGTCCGAAGTGTGTCGGGGTCGAACTACAAGTGATACCTCTCCGGTCGCGTGTCCAACCTCATTGTCCTTAACGCCTGAGATGGCCACTCGCACCGCCCGCCGTGGAAGACGTAGCGCCTGAGCGACCCACGATGAGACGAGAGAGGTATCGGAGCCGGTGTCCAGAAGGGCTCGGACCTCTACGGTTTCTCCTGATGGCGCCTCCAATCTCACCTTGGCGGTTGCGAGTAAGGCCACGGCTTTTGAGCCAACCGATAGAGAGAGGGTAGTCACCTGCTGAGTTGCGTCGTCAGACGTCGAGGCAGCGTCTTCTCGTGCCGGCTGTCCGCCTTCACGGCCTGGTGCGCTTGCCGGTGGAGCCGTCAGCGCCTCGTGCAGTAACGTATGGTGTCGCTTGCTACAAGCTAAACAGACTTGTTTAGACGGACACTTACCCACTTCGTGTCCTACATTCAAACAGCTCAGGCAGGCCTTCAGCTGTTGGACGCGCTCCTTGCGTTTTGCCGGAGACAGCGCCTTGAATTTATAACAAAATCCTAGACCGTGGGTGCCCGAACACCCCGGACATTTCCGGGCCGGGGGCGACTTTGATGCTGCGGCTAAGACGTTAGAGTTAACGCCTTTTGCTGATGCTCCTCCCTTTGTTTTAGGTTTGATTTCCTTAGAGCTGGTCGGCGACACAGCGTGGAGCGATGGGTCCGTCATGCCTGCAGCGCTTAAAGCTTGGATCCGGTTCTCCAAGAACTGCGATAATTGCTGGAACCGCGGGATTTCCCGGCTATCCGCCAAAGAAGTCTCCCAAGCAAGGTGAGTAGTTTTGTCAAGCTTTTGACTTAGTAAGTATACAAACCACTCATCCCATGAAGTAACGGGTTTCCTCAGTGTAACGTACGCCCTAATCGCCTGGCGGAAAGTGTCTAAAAGCCGCTTCAATTCGCCAGCTGACTGCTGCAGGGCTGGTGGGCACAAGAGGAGCGCTCGATGATGGGAAAACGATAACAGACGAATGTTACCGTACCGGGCTTCCAGATCGTCCCATGCTCCCCTAAAGCCGGAGTCCGTTATCGGCGTATTCCGAATGACCTCGGCGGCCTCACCTGTCAAACTAGACTTCAAATAGAGTAGCTTCTGTACGTCAGGTAAGTGGCTGACGTCATGGACTAGACTTTTAAAAAGGTCGCGAAAGCTCTCCCATTGTAACGGATCGCCCGAAAATTTCGGCAAATCAATTTTAGGCAGTTGCGGGTGGGGCGGAGGCGCAATATTGGACTGTTGAACATGCGAGGAGCAAGGGGACGGCAGCTCTTTCAGGTGATGGGAAATCATGGAGGCTGCGTCGAGGTAAGCTTCTTCTGTGACCGAAAAGGCGTCCTCTTTGACATATGAACTAGAACTCGCCTCCTTGCATCTCATCAATTTACGGTGTCCGCTAAGGAACGTGTCCCAGTATCGGTTGAGCAAACCCTGTCTCTGCTCTAAAACCCCGTCAGCTTGTCCTTTCCTAACTTGCATACGTTAGCCCAGAATCTTTGTATCCACCCCGCTACTTCCTCTTGTTCACGCAGAAGATCCGAAAAGGACGTAGTCATGATCGCAATTCAAGGCGAAATTTAATTTAATATTTCGATAGAGAACCACTGAGACCGTACTTCTAAGCCTTTCAACGCGTACCGTAATGTTGGTAAATATTAGTCGCGCTGACTTACCCAAAGTCGTTAGGCTCTCGGCGTGACGTCACAAAGCGTGGTCGTTGCCGTTGAAACAAAGGATGGTTACGTAACCGGTTTTCAATCGGCTCTTCTTTTCAGATTCCTGGTTGGAGATTTTCGCTGATCTGGATCGCCGAAGAAGTTCTCCACAGGTGAAGAAGAAAAGCCAGATGCACTTGAAGCACAGAGTTCACTTGCGCGATTTTTCCCGAAGCACCGTTGTTCGTTTAACCGAATCCGGCTCGAAGGACCAGTTTGTTCCGTTAAATTTCGCCGCGGCGTATTTTCCGCGGTTGGGAATCTGCAGGAAAATGAGCGAGGTGCCGGATCGCGTTTACCGAAGCGCAGGAGTCTTGGAAAAGCGGAAGCAATGAACTCCACAGCAACGTGTTGCGTAGTTTTAGCAAAAACTCGTTGTATTTAATAAATTAACAGGTAGTCTTAGGAATAACAAGTTTATATTTCAATCCTCTATTCACTGAATTAATCCGCGTTATTGCGGTTCGCCGAAGCACTTGGTTCGTGCGAAGCGCCAGAAAAAGAACAAAGGAGAGATTTGCGGATCTGAATTCTCCGAAAAGCGTTCGCGAGATAAGAGTGAGACAAGAGTGAGCCCCGTCGCAGAGCGACGACAGGCTCGCACCTCTCCCTCTCTCTCCCGGCATCCTCGCCCCACACCGCTGGCCAACGGCGTGAGAGAGATGGGCGCCGATGAGAGAGGGATGGCAATACGACAGAAGTCAGTCGCGTTAGACATTGAGGAAACAGTTCGCTCGAACACTATGCGTTGAGCTTCATCAGCAAAGGAACGCAGCTCTGTCGCGGATTCTTTTTTAAAAAATGGCATATCCATAAAGGCCCGTAAATGCTTGTAAACAATTAATCGGGGATTGTGGAAACGCGCCTTTAAAGCCTGCCACGTCGTCGAATAATTTGCATTCGTGGTTGTTACGTCCTTAACTAAGTCCGCAGCGGCACCCTTCAAACAAGTTTTCAAGTACTGTAGCTTGGTCGCATCAGCTAAACCAAGGGCATTGTGTACGAGCGTGGTGAATAAGTCACAAAAGTTTTTATCCGACTTCGAAAAGGAGGAGGATACTCAATTCGATGTGTATGTATTTTTTTTTTTTTTTTTTTCTTTTAATGTATGTTCACCGATTACGCCGAGACGGATAGACCAATCGGAACGAAACCTTTTGCGTCTTGTAGAGTGTAACTCCTCATTGGTACAGTAAAAAAAATATTTTGCATCTTTTCATTCCTAACGACTATTTCTTCTAAATGTATGTTCGCCCATTACTCCAAGATGGATGGACCAATCGGAACGAAACATTTTGCATCTTGTAGAGTATGTCTCCCGATTGGTTCCGTTAAAAAAACATTTTGCATTTTTTCATTGTTAACGATTTTTTTGCAAAAAACGTAATACTTGATTTATGTCTTCAGGCGTTTATGCTGCAGGGAATGTATCGATTGTGATGAAAACTTTCACATTTAGTAGAAGGTATATCCGCGATGATCTCAATTGCAAAAATGTATTGAATTTTTTAATAACTACTATTATAGCGAAAAATCTACGTCTTCATGTTATTCTGCAAGGAATGTATCGTTCGCGATGAAACCTTTCATATTTGGTAGGAATTACAGGGTGTCAGGCGACTACCTCGACAGCCGTAGAGGGATGATTGCTAAGGGGATTCTAAACAACTTTTTCCTTTGCCAAATTGTTGGTTAAGGCTTGGTTTGCGAGCTAATAACAAAAAACACCGACCAATCCGAGCGCGGATAGAGCGCAGTCCCAGGGACTGCAGTGTCGGGTACGAAAACCGGGCTTGACGTTGGTCGCGAACGAACGGCTTGGCACCCCGTTGGCATAGCACAATAAAAAAACTGAACTGGTAGAACATTTTTAGTCGCTGTTTAGAATGAATATGGAACCTAATCTCTTATTGCCTGTCATAATGTAAAAAAGGAAATTCTAAGGATTTTAAACAACAAATAAAAATGTTTGAAGTGGTATAATTAATAAACGTTTGAATCAAAGGCTACACTAATGATGCAAAATTTGAAAACAATTTAAATGAAACCTATCCATTCGTTTCTAAATTAACTTGCTACGCTGAAAGCAAATAATTCCCACTAGATCACTGTGTCGATTCTGGACATTCGATGAGCAAACACCTCGCCTATTATTCACACCTAAGTGCAATAAATGAGGGGAGTTCACTGGCCCGATCATGAAAATTACTGTTCTACTGAACGTGTTTCCTCGATTCCCAGTGACAATTATCTGCTTTCAGCGTAGTAGGTTAATTTACGAACGAATGCGAAAGTTTCATTTATATTGTTCTCAAATTTTTCATCATTAACATGGCTTCCAATTCAAACGTTTATTAATTATTCCATTTCAATCATTTTTATTTGTTGTTTAGAATCCTTAGAATTTCCTTTTTTACATTATGATAGGCGACAAGAGATTAGGTTCCGTATTCATTTTAAACAACGACTAAAAATGTTCTACCCGTCCAATTTTTTTATTGTGCTATGCCAACGGGGTGCCGAGCCGTTCGTTTGCGACCTACGTCAGGTCCGGTTTTCATAGCCGACATTGCAGTCCCTGAGCCCGCGCGCTGTACGTGCTCGGATTGGTCGGTGTTTTTTGTTAATAACTAGAAAAACAAGCCTTAACCAACATTTTGGAAAAGGAAAAAGTTGTTTAGAATCACCTTAGCAATCATCCCTCTTCGGCTGTAGAGGTAGTCGCGTGACACTCTGTATATCCGCGATGACCCCACTTGCAAAAATTTATAGAATTTGTTGTTTATTAACCATTTAAATTTGGTCAATATTTTTTAGGTTTATGGTTATTAGCTAAGTAACAGAAACCCAAAATCACCTTACACTATCCTAAAAATACTGCAGGTTCCACTAAAAAGTGTGAAATAAAATAATTTTTAACAAAAAACAAATCCGACTTCGAAATGCACTAAAAAGTGTCAAATAATTACTATTTCATTTATACCAATATTCCATAGCTATTAATAATATCTACTTAATCGTTAAATAGGATACCAAACACATTTCAAAGTTTTCGGAGGCGGCGCAAAATTAAAAATACCCGAACAAACGATGCTGCCAATAACGATTTGATTGCGGTATGGCAAACTTGGTAAATAATAAGTCGTAAGAGAAAAATTATAGGTCCGGCTGAAAACATTTGTAATTGTAACGATTGTATGAGAAATTAGCAGCCCTCCTGATGTACATGCACTATACTGCAGTTCACAAGAGACCATACTTAACTCGCGCCGCTCACTAGGTCTAGAGAGATTTTTAATCACGTGTGTTATTCCCCTCTACAGCTTGCTTCTTATTATACTTTGCGACCATATAAATGGCCGGCAGAAATATATAACATACGATAATTGATAACCGGTGATGATATTGTAAAGTTTCACGATACAATGAAATTCCTATTATTTGTCGCAAGAAAAAAATGATGTGAACGCAAAGTAAGAAGCAAGCTGTAAAGGGGAATCACACGCACTATTAAAAATCTCCCTAGACCACAGTAGGTCACTAGCTGCGCGAGTTAAGTGCGGTCACTCGTGAACTGCAGTATAGTTAATTCGCAACGGGTTTGTTGATTCCCATTGAATATTATTTACTTGAAATTATCAAATGGGTGATTTATCATAGGTTGCCGACGTCCGAGTTAGGATCTTCTTAGTAGAGGAAAAGTTTTTAATTTTGCGCCGCCTCCGAAAACTTTGAAATGTATTTGGTATCCTATTTAACGATTACGTAGACATTATTAATAGCTATGGAATATTGGTATAAATGAAATAGAAATTATTTGACACTTTTTAGTGCATTTCGAAGTCGGATTTGTTTTTTGTTAAAAATTATTTTATCCCAATCCTCGTATTGACCGGGAAACGTTGGTAAATCTAATTTTGGTAATTTAGCCGCGCGATGCTCGAGCGTTAGTGAGGAGCTGGCAATCGGTGGCCCGCAGCCTCAAGCTCTGCTTGGACCGTTAAAAGAAAATCAAGCGTATCCTCGTACGCCGTTTGCAACCGTTCAATCATATTATCCGTGAGATAAGCGTCACCTTCGGCATCCTCACGCACGGAAATCTCAGCATGCGCGCCCCGCGCTTCCCTCCAGATTTCCTGGAGCGACTTAATTCGAGAAGCAATAATATTGCGATTAAAGGTATTGCTCTCCTTATCCCTTAGTCGAGAGCTCGTTAACTCGATTCCGGCTAATCGCGCATATTGCACCGTAGTGAGCCTTTTCAAAAGTGTAGGTGCCATGATAATTCCAACCAAAAGATTTTCAAACTCAAAAGTATTTACTTAATCTAAGCGTAAATCGAAACTATAAAAGTAATAAGAATGCGTTACGACAAATTAAATTCAATAAACAAATCATCAAAAAAAAAAATAAAAGAACTATGGCAATATACTATTCACAACGCTAACTTATAATTAAACAGCAGAGAACTCGGGTATTACAATTTCAAATAAAAGTATCCAGCGTCTTAACCAAACGGACGTTAAAGTTCGAGGAAACACGACGCCGTAAACCCATTTGAGCTCGTGGCGTCGCAACCAAAAGTCTGTGTTTATATTACACTATCGCTCTACTCGCCCCTATAAACGAGAACGCACGAACAGAGGAATGCCCAAGCAACGCCACAGCGATGATTCTTAACACATAAAACAAAAAATCAATCTCTAGTTTTACGCACTATATTCAAATCCGGAATATCGAATGGGTAGGATATGAGGTGGAATT